ACAAAAAAAACAACATTAAAAATAGAAGAGCAAATAGAGACAAAAAGTAAATACAGCTCTTATAAGAGGTTTCCCTGCAGAATGGAGTTGAATAAGCATTTTAAGTCTTCTATTAAGTATGGAGGAATTAGAAGTGACATTTACTCAATTATGGACAATTGAACTTTAGCGACAACTATTATTGACAGCCACACACTTAGGTATCTCCTAAACTTGTTCAAAACTGCCCGCACTGTGTAAACTGGTTAATCAGTGCCAGAATATACAATCCAGTGTTACATCTCATATTTCAAATATTCTGTGTCTTCCTCTTTCTTGGATTATTCCTTTGTTTTCAGTGGGCTACTTTCCTCCACTTCCTGGGAAAGGATGCCCAAGAGGCAAATTTTTGGAGACATAAAGGTCTGAAAATCTCATTATTCTATCCTATACTCAGTTTATCACATACTCATTGAGAGTATCTGGTAAAGAATTCTAGGTTTGAGATCATTTCTCCTGAGAATTTGAATGCCTCATTGTTTTCTAGATTCTGGTGTTGAAAAATGTAATGCTGGCCGGGCGCGGTGGCTCACGCCTGTAATCCTAGCACTCTGGGAGGCTGAGGTGGGCGGATTGCTCGAGGTCAGGAGTTTGATCCTTCTGTCTCAGCCTCCCGAGTAGCTGGGACTACAGGCATGAGCCACCATGCCCGGCTAATTTTTTTCTATATATATTAGTTGGCCAATTAGTTTCTTTCTATTTATAGCAGAGACGGGGACTCGCTCTTGCTCAGGCTGGTTTCGAACTCCCGACCTCAAGCAATCCACCCGCCTCGGCCTCCCAGAGAGCTAGGATTACAGGGGTGAGCCACCGCGCCCGGCCTCTTTTAGTTATTTTAAAGTATACCCTAACTTATTGTTAATTATAGTCACTTTGTTGTGCTATCCAATATTGTTCATTCTAAGCATATTTTTATTTCCCACATAGCAAAAATTCTAATTTAATTGGTCTCAGTGGACCTGGCTTGTTTTATTTTGTTACTTTCGTTTTTTAAGAAACTAGATGATTCTATTGTGAAGGCAGATTTAGGAGCTACTGCTCCAAAGCAAATAAAAGTCTCCAGAATGGTTTTATTCTCTTAAAAGACTATCTTTTGTTCTGAAATTATTGGGCTTTTTTGTACTGTGTCCTTGTATAAAATGAAATGGCAAGTTTTCTTGTTTTTTTTTTTTTTTTTTTTTTTTTTGAGACAGAGTCTCACTTTGTTGCCCAGGCTAGAGTGAGCGCCGTGGTGTCAGCCTAGCTCACAGCAACCTCAGTCTCCTGGGCTCAAGCAATCTTCCTGCCTCAGCCTCCTGAGTAGCTGGGACTACAGGCATGCGCCACCATGCCCGGCTAATTTTTTCTATATATATTTTTAGTTGGTCAATTAATTTCTTTCTATTTTTGGTAGAGACGGGGTCTTGCTCAGGCTGGTTTTGAACTCCTGACATCAAGCGATCCGCCTGCCTCGGCCTCCCAGAGTGCTCTGCTCGGATTACAGGCGTGAGCCACTGCGCCCGGCCTGTAAATATTCTTATATGACAAAATAAAAAGTAAAAAATTTTAAAACTATATATTACTGGTTTGTAAAATCCAAAAGTCTGGAACCTACTTAGTAGCCTGCATTTCCTGATATGTGGATGTCTAGTAAATATTTTTGAACTAAAGCTAGTACTTTTCTTTTTAAAAGATAAAAACTGTATACATTCAGTAAAGCTAACAAAAGCTTTTATTCCATGAAATTGAATGTCAATTAAAACAAAATTGACCTTTCTATGCCACGTCTATGCATTAATCTTGCATAAAGCAACGTTAGAAAAGTTGTGGTTTTGTGGGAGAGTCAGAGTTAGTCTCTCAAGAGACTTCTATGTTCTTAAAATAGCTATGGATGAAGAAACAAGCTTACGTTATTTAGCACGTGATTTTTCTTTAGAGGCGGGAGTAGAGGATTGTAGTACGCCAAATGGTTTGGTTGTAGAGAAGGGAATAGTGATGCTAACCAAGGTTCAGTTATTGTGCTCGGTACCTTGTTGAGGAAGGTACTTTAATCCCATTTTACCCTTGAGGAAAGGCTCAGTGTGGATAAATAACTTTCTGAGTTATGAAGCTGCAAACACACCAAAGTTGATATTCAACCCCAAGCCTGATTCCAAAACCCATAGTTCTTCCACTATATGCCCTATGTCCTGGGACACTAGTCTGAGATTAGACACTATGGGACATGACTTACTAAAATGTAAATGAATGTCTTCCTCTCTAGAATCTAAGATTCATGAGGATGCGAACAGTACCTGGCTTATTTATCTTTGTATCCCCATGCCTAGCTAATGCATAGGCCATACTAGGTGCTGAGTGTTTAATGAACACATAATGCTCTGTAAGCCTCCAAAACCCACAGGGCAACCATGATCCTTCTCCTAAAAGGCCTCACAAAACAATCAACTCCCCAAATAAGAGAAATGCGGGTAATTTAGATAGAACTACCACAAAAGAAACCCTTAGTCGGATTAGTGAAGAAATGAGCTGATATTTATTGGACCCCTGTTACATTCTAAGTCCTACACTAAGGGATTAATAAATTTAAGTGTCAAAATATAAAAAAAAATTTATTCTGATACCTGTATAAATTCACCTTTTGTCTGGAGTAATAAGCAATAAATTTACCAAAGGGGTATATGCTTATTTAAAAATAGGAGGAGGAAGTAAGTGACTGCAATTTTGACATGTAAGCTCTGGGAGAATCACTGAAGAGGATCTAAGTCTTATTCAACTTCTCATTCCTAGTGTGTGCCACACAGATATTCCAGAGATGAATGGAAGAATGACTACTAGTGATAGCATGCTAGAAGAGCAGGTAGAAGCTACATGGGTTATGAAAAAGGATGGAGGAGTAGCTTGGATACAGATGATTCCAGTAGTTGTATCCGCAGGTTGACCCTGGATGAAGCTTTGCTTTGTGGATAGGTTGGCAGTCAGAAATGGATAAAGATAATAGATTTAAAAAATACGGTGGGGTGCAGTGGTTCACACCTGTAATCTTAGCGCTCTGGGAGTCCGAGGTGGACGGATTGTTTGAGCTCAGGAGTTCGAGACCAACCTGAGCAAGAGTGAGACCCCATCTCTACTAAAAATAGAAAGAAATTAGTTGGACAACTAAAAATATACAGAAAAAAAAAATTAGCCAGGTGTGGTGGCGCATGCCTGCAGTCCCAGCTACTTAGGAGGCTGAGGCAGGAGGATCGCTTGAGGTTGCTGTGAGCTAGGCTGACGCCACAGCACTCTAGCCCTGGCAGCAGAGCAAGACTCTGTATCAAAAACCAAAAAAAAAAGTACAGTAGTCCAGCAGATATCAACACTGTTCTCTAGAACCAGCTTTATAAAGTGATTCACCCACTCGACATTTATTTCTTACTTGTCTACTAATTTACTTGGGTGAATTTTTATCCCTATACTTACTACAACCTTACACCTGTAGGAAGTAGTACATAGTAACACAAGCTGCTCTAGAAATTGGATCTTGGGTACCAAGAGTACCAGACTGCATGGTATATATTTAAATTCTAGTATATCCTGATAATTCATTTGGTTGAAGAAGAGACCGTTACACATGAGAGATAAGACTGGAAAGAGATGAAGTTGGATCAGGGAGGTTTTTCTTCATTTACTCTATCAACAAAGGGACCCATTAATGATGTCTGCCTTATTAATACAGTGTCTGGTATAATTAATCTCATGTATTTATTTCCACTTTTCTAGGAGCAACATACTATCAGATTATTTTAGCAAAAGAATATAAACAATGCTCTAAGAACTATATTTGACAGTGAACTTCCTCAGTTTCATTTCATTCGATACAAATTTACTAAGTTCTTGTTATATTATAAGCTCTGTGCTAGGCACTTATCCATTCTACTTAGTTCTGAGAAAGCAACCCTCTTCTGACCTCCCCTTTTCCAAATTTTTTAGATTTAATTTTTAAATTTAAGAGATACAGGCTGGGCGTGGTGGCTCACGCCTGTAATCCTAGCACTCTGAGAGGCCGAGGCGGACAGATTGCTCAAGGTCAGGAGTTCGAAACCAGCCTGAGCAAGAGCTAGACCCCGTCTCTACTATAAATAGAAAGATATTAATTGGCCAACTAATATATATAGAAAAAATTAGCCGGGCATGGTGGCGCATGCCTGTAGTCCCAGCTACTCGGGAGGCTGAGGCAGTAGGATTGCTTGAGCCCAGGAGTTTGAGGTTGCTGTGAGCTAGGCTGACACCATGGCACTCACTCTAGCCTGGGCAACAAAGCGAGACTCTGTCTCAAAAATAGGAGAAAAAATTTAAGAGATACAGATGACAGTGAAAAGCCTTCTTCCCATCCTTTACTGCAACTGTCTTCCCTCAAAGCAGTTGTTTCTATGTATCCTTAGACATATTCTGCGACCCAAATGAGTATGTTAATTTTTCAAATTTTTTTGTAAAAATGGTAGTACATTCTACTCTGTAACTCTTTTCTATATTGGTATTCGTTCCACATCAACATCTGTTCACATAAACCCTTTCTAGTCCCCATTTTTAACTGGCGAATAGTAGTCACTTATATTGATTTATGATAGCGAGTCCCAGTTCCCTACTGATTTGTCTAATCAGCTATTTTTGACAGTGGTGACATATGTCATTTTATGTGTTCCAGTTTACACGTGGACTAAATTCCTAAAAATGGAATTATTAGGGCAAAGATTATATGCATTGTTTTTAGAGACAGAGTCTCACTCTGTCACCCAGGCTGGAGCACAGTGGTGCAATCATAGCTCACTGTAACTTCCAACTCCTGGGCTCTAGTGATCCTCCCACTTCATCATCATCCTGAGTAGCTAGGACTATAAGCACATGCCACCATGCTGGAATAATCTCTTTAATTTTTTTTTTTTTTTTGTAGAGATGGGTGTCCCGCTATATTGCCCACCCTGGTCTTTAACTCCTGGCCTCAAGTGATCCTCCCACCTTGACCTCCCAAAGTGCTGTGATTACAGGTGAGCCACTGCACCCAGCCCATCATATTTTTAATAGAAAGTACCAGACTGCTTTCTCAACTGCACCAGTTTGTTATCCTGCCAGAAATGTCTCATGCACCTGTTTCCCCATTTCTTGCAAAGTGTTATTTGCAAACTTACATCTTGCTCAAACTGAAACCATGTGTATTCTTAATCCATCCCTTCCTGCTTTTTCTGGTAATATGTGTCTTTAGTCTTCTGTGTCCTTTCCTTAGTCTACAATCATGTTCAATTTTATCTCCCCTCCTCCAAATTCCTCCTTTACCTATTTTGTAAGTATACTCTTGCCCTATTATTATCACATACTCTTCATGATAAACTTCAACTCATTTTCCATTTGCTAAAGTCATTAAACCTGTTTTCCATCATTTAACTCTCCTTAAGAAAAGAAGCTATCTTACTCATCTCCTATGCTTTATAGAAACACTGCTTCCCACTCTGAAACCTTCCTCTTTTGGCTTTCGCACACGGCTCAATAGTTAATTTTCACTCCTTTACATTGCAACATCATTCAACAATTACAGTAATGAATCCAGGTAGTCTGTCCCTAAAGTCTGGCTCTTAATATCAAATAATTTTGAGACTTAAGAATTTTTATATTTTCTCTATGCTATACTACCTGAATTGAGTCTACTTCAACAGTACATTAGCAAAGCTTTGGACTTCCCATTTTAAGAACTAATTTATTTATCTGACTAGATAATATATTCATATACTTTTTTTTTTCTGAGACAGTCTCGATCTGTTGCCTGGACTAGAGTGCCATGACGTCAGTGTAGCTCACAGCAACCTAACTCCTGGGCTCAAGTGAGCTTTCTGCTTCAACCTCCCAAGTAGCTGGGACTTCAGGTGCACACCCCCATGCCCAGCTAATTTTTTCTATTTTTAGTAGAGACTGGGTCTCACTCTTGCTCAAGCTGGTCTCGAACTCCTGACCTCAAGAGATCCTCCCACCTTGGCCTCCCAGAGTGCTAGGATTATAGGCACGAGCCATCTCTCCTGGCCATGACAGTGTTCTTATAGCTGGGATATTTCACCTGCATTACTGCCATAGCATCCTAGTGATTCTTCCTATATGGAGCTTCTCCATCCCTAATTTTTCTTATAGCTGTGGCTCTTCTACAGAAATTGGGTTGTGTGATTATCTCCAAAATAAATCTCCATGTACTTTCTATTGCCTGAAATGCAAACGGCACATAAAGCCCTCAGTTCATGTCACCAAGTATCTGAACACCAACTATGACCATTAGGCAGTACTAAGGTCAGTGAGACTGACTTAACAGTCTAATAAAAGGGAAGTACTTAAAAGAAATGCATAGTGAGCTTGGGAAGCATAGAGGGGCACTCAACTCAAATACACAGCAACATGTGTATAGGCAATAAACTATTATTGGAGTGTAAAAGCAAGAACTGAACTGGTACTGCTTCTGTCAAGTTGATTCCAACTCTTCTACAGTTAACTTCAACAAGTACTGACCTCTAATAGAATGTAGTATATAAGTTTATTATGCAATGTATCATTTTACTTTATCATTGTTCATTTGTATCCTACTCTCTATGAGCTTTTTAAAGGTAAATTATTTTTCACTAAAATGAAAATGGGGCCAGGCGTAGTGGCTCACATCTGTAATTCCAGCACTCAGGGAGCCTGAGGGGGAAGGATCGCTTGATGTCAAGAGTTTGAGACCAGCCTCAGCAAGAGTGAGACTTCATCTCTACTACAAATAGAAAGAAATCAGCTGAGCAACTAAAAATAGAAAAAATTAGCCAGGTGTGATGATGCATGCCTATAGTCCCAGCTACTTGGGAGGCTGAGGCAGGAGGATTGCTTGAGCCCAGGAGTTTGAGGCTGCTGTGAGCTATGATGATGCCAGAGCATTCTAGCCTGGGCAATGGAGTGAGACTCTGTCTCAAAAAAAATTAAAAAAAAAAAAAAAATGGAAAAGAAAAATCTACAAAGATGTACAACCAAACCGTAGCTGTTTGGCTGACTAATATTGACATTACTCTAAAGTATAAATTTTTAAATATTTATGTACCATAAATGACATATACTACTTGTAATTGATGAAAATAGGATTTCACATTAATTTTTTCTTAATTTCTTTTTAGCTCTGATTCATCATGTGAGGCTGGTGTACTTTTTCTGGATTTTACTATACTATCTAAACCAAAATTTTAATGCATGCATTAATAATGCATAATAACAAGAAAAAACAAAACAGAATACAGCTTTTATATTATTGAACTTTATGTACAAAATCATTTGATTTCAAATAAACATTTAATGTAAAAACAAACGCTCTTTTAAACTGAATTTTTTTTTACATCTACTGTACCATTCAAATGCTTTATCATCTTACATGATTTCTTCAAAATCTGTTATCAAGGGTACATATAGAAAAGCACTTTTTTATAAATAGAAACAAAGGGATTTTTTCAGCTTTTATTATAAGATGACATAAAAAGTTTACTCAACAGAAGTAATTTCATTACTATTTGGGGGAGGGAATCACCAACTTTTTGTGCAAACAATGCTAGCCTTCTTTTAAGCATTAAGAGCATAACTGCTTAAGAAATGACATAAGCAATAATTCTACACCTACATCTCCCCTAAAATAATCTATTTTTTTTTTTTTTTTTACATATGTGCACAGCTTTAGCAAATTAAAGCCCGAGAGAAATGCTTGAGATCCACTATCCAGAAGCAAAACCGGAGTTTACTGGAAGGAACTCATCATTTGGAGAGCTTACCAATCAAGGAGTCTGTAATGAAAGCTGCAGTTTCCCTCTTTCCTATTTTTTTAAACACAAAAATCAATGACTAAGAACTTAATACTGGATGACAAATCACATCCACACTATTAGTTAAATAGCCTCACAGTTAAACACATCTTAAAGACCAATCAAATCAGTATTTACATTTTATAAATTTCTGAAGACACCATTAGAAAGCTTATATATCCCTTCATTAAACAAAATAGGGAACTGCATCTGATGGTGGTGGAATGAAATTTAAAAATTAAAAATACCTGTATTTACAGCAGCATTGATCCTTTATAAATAAAGAATATGAAAATGCAATATCTTTAAGGTTAATAAAAAATTGAGGTGATGTTACTCAACCACAGTGCTTGGAGTTGGAATAAAACCCTATTGGTGCTTGTTAATGTGCCAGTAGTGAAACCACTTTCTGTTGGAGAAAATCCAACTGCAAATATGTGCATAAAACACATATAACACAGGGCAAAATTGCTCAAAATGATTCAAGTCAGCTTATCTGTATTGGATATTCTAATCATGAAATACATTACAAAGACATCCTTGTAAAGAAAAAAAGGTATAACATTTTCTGGTTCATTTTATAGGACACCTCCCCCCTTGAAAGTGGCATCTTAAAACCTCACACTCATTCTTTCCTTGGTTTACAATCCTAATTTAAAGATGTGAACAGCTGAATTTTCCATGGATTATCTAATTAAAAAAGAAAAACCCAAACCAGAAAAACATTCAAGTTTAAAAAATATATACTGGGTGAGCAATGCACTAAAATTATCCACATGGAAACAAATGGTCAGTAACCTTACAAACCAACATGGCATTTCACTGTCAATAATGTGAAAAATTACCATCTTCTCAAACAGGCATAAGATGAAGAAGTGCTATTTTAAAATTATAAAATGAACTTAATGTAATGTTGCAAATTTCTCATTCCAAATAGATAAATGATTTCAAAAACAAGGATCAAGGTTTGATTGCAAATAGTAATACAACATAATTTCATAAAAATCCTTCAATTTCTAAAAAAGGGAATCACATTCCAATTTTCCCTCCCCAAGAAAATTTCTCACAATTACAAAATAGAAAAACAGCCACTCACAAATGCAAAAATCATTATAATTTAAATATAGGAAATAATTTCTAGATTATCAATTCAATATATTTCATAAACAATTCTTGAAGTTAAAAATACTTTCTCTGAAGTATTGCTTTCATGCTCAAACTAGAGAATGTTTTAATAACAGCAGTCAAACTGACATACATGTAATGCTGCATGATGAAATGAAGTAGAACCCTGGTACAAATATCCTTGTTGAAATCATTTACTTCATCTAACAGTGCCTGTTTGGAACCTATGATTAAAAACAAAAACACAATTCTTCTTAGAGGCTGAATTCCCTAGAATGCAATTTCAGTGTTTGTCCATAACATGGGGTTAGGTCTTTTCAGAGTTTTTGTTTTTTGCTCTGTTTTGAAACCCCTGAGACACTATCCGTTTCCAAACCTTTCTCTTTTGAGTTAATTTCACTAAATCCATTTGTTGTCCCGTTTTGTTCTTCAGTTATTTCTTCATTTGCAGGGGAAGCAGATTCCCCTTTTTCTAATTTTTGCTGCATTTCACGGAGCTTGGTAACAGCTTTATCTATTGACATTATGCTAATAAGATTAAAGTCATGCATGCTGACTAGATGAAGCATGAAGTTTCGACATAAATTCTTCTTAATTATTTTCTGTCCATAATTTTCTACAAACAGCATACAGGCATGATTCATTTGATTGTCAGCAATAAACCTATTTAATAAAAACAAAACATCAATTGCGATACAAAGCACTTTTGTTAAATATAATAGTGATAACCATTATAGAATAAGACTATATCCAAATCCAGTAAATGATTTAACAAGCAGCAAAAGCATAGTGAAACTGAGATTCAATAACCCTAATGAGCTTATCATTTTAGAATTTTTTAAAAAGATTTAATCTAACCAGAGCTTAAACAGGTGCCATTAGAGCAGATGTCATTTCTATTTTCCTAATGAAATTAGATACAAGAGCCTTAAATATAAAAAATACTTGCTTTTGCCAACATTATTTCCATGAACTCTGTACACATTAACAATTCCCCTCCCTTTATCTTGACATACCTTCCTATTAAAGAAGTAGTGCTTCTCTACTCTTAAGTTCATGGGAAAACTTTGAAAAAATGAAGGTGTCACAAAAGTGACAGTAAATGTGGGTATGTTGGTGGTCAGTGGGGTAAATGTATGATTAATGAAATATGAAGAGAACCAAATAGAGTAACAGCTCAGTTATCCACTGACACTGAGAGTCCAACATGGGAGTTTGTAAGGCCTACCTGCAGATGTTAAAATATCAAATAAGTTTGACTTGCTACTTAATTATGCCACTATATAATAAATTCCAATAGTTGCTACACTAGCTGATTTATGAATGAATTGAATCAATGAATTGAAACAGAACTAAATGAAGTGATCTGACTAAAATTGTATCTTTAAATTGGCATACTATGACAAAAGAAAAAACATATTTAACCCAACCTCCACATGCTTTACTCATAACTGAGTTTTAATGACTAGAAGAGTAGTCCAGGAAACTATCTGTAAAATGCCATGGAGTAAATACAAGCCCTATGTGATCTCTCTCTTTTCTCTTTTGTATAAGCCACTAAAAATGTAAATAGTATTCATAGCTTAAGGGCAGTACAAAAATAGGCTAACACATCATGCACCCATACTAGAACTTATACTCCAACTCTTCTTCACTCCCCAAAAGTAAAAAAAAGTGCTCTCCACTGCCATTTATTTCACTTATCTTTAAATGAAAAAACCACAGATGCATGTGCTATAGAACAAAGCCTTAAATGAGAATTTTATAATAAAGAAGAAAAATGTGTAATGATAGGTAAATGCTTCGCACAGGGAAGGAGGAAGATCTGTAGGAAAAAACAATGGTTGGGAACATACTATAAGCAACAAAGTCATGAGAAATAAAATTATTCTACCCTGACCTCTATAAAATGGTAAAGAAATGAGGAATCAGAAAAGCCATATATTTATTCTGAGTAAAATTGTGGTAACAACTGGCTGGGCACAGTGGCTCAAAAGTCTGTAATCCCAGTACTTTGGAAAACCAAGGCAGGAGGATCACTTAAGGACAGGAGTCTGAGACTAGCCTAGGCAACAGAGAGAGATCCTGTCTCTATAAAAAGAATTTTAAAAATTAGCTGGGCATAGTGGCACACTCCTGTAGTCCCAGCTGGGAGGCTGAGGCGGAAGGACTGCTTAAGCCCAAGACTTGGAGGCCATGGTGACCTATGACTGTGCCACTGTACTTCAGCATGGGTGACAGAGTGAGACCTTTTTCCCCCAAATTGTATAATAGTAATAACTGTGATAAGTAATTTTTAGGACATCCAGTCTTATAACACATGACATATTATTTTTGTATTCCCTGGCAATAAAAGGTATGCCAATTGGTTATTATAAAAAAGGACCCACTCTGTTTAACACTGAGACATAATCCCTACCAAAAAAAAAAAAAAATTTAGAGGGGGTATAGTAGTGCTCATCTGTAGTCCCAGCAACTTGGAAGACTATGGCAGGAGGATCACTTGTGCCCAGGAGTTATAAGCTGCAGTGGGCTATGATCATGCCACTGCACTTGAGCCTGGGCAACAGAGTAAGACCCTGTCATTAACTAAATAAGGACGTATTACTCTAATAAGCTTTTAGATATTATTCTGCTTATACATTAAGTCACAATATGCGAATAAGTTAAATTCAATTCAACTAGTGGTAATATATTATTTTTCACGTAAATACTGAAACAAAGGAAGAAATCCAAAGCCCTTTATAAATGTTCTGTTAAATGGAGCTAGGAACTAGCACTTTCCTTATATATTTTCAGAGCATCACTATTTTTCCTTACGCAATTAAAATACTTTGGACTGGAATAAGATTTGGGATACATATCTAAACTAATCAAATTTTAAATAAGATTCAAACAAAGGAAGATTTATAGAATGTGAAGTAGCAAAAGAAAATAAAGAAGAACAAAACATTTAAATCAATTTAGAAATACCCTACCCATGTTTCATGACATGGAGATTCCATAGTTTCATAACTTCTTTCTCTCCTTCATTAACATCAGAAAACTCTTCAATTTGCTAAAAAAAGGAAAAGAAAAATACTGATGAAATGCAGAAATACTTGTCAGAATGTCAAAATTAAAATGTTTTAGAACTGAAAATACCATAATATATTTATTTATATAGCACAGTGGCAACATTTTCTTAAAACCAATTTCTATTTAAGTAGTAATTTTAAAAGGGAAATCTTAGGCCGGGCGCAGTGGCTCACGCCTGCAATCCTAGCACTCTGGGAGGCCGGGGTGGGCGGGTTGTTCAAGGTCAGGAGTTCGAAACCAGCCTGAGCAAGAGCAAGACCTGTCTCTACTATAAATAGAAAGAAATGAATGGGCCAACTAACATATATAGAAAAAAAAAGTAGCCGGGCATGGTGGCACATGCCTGTAGTCCCAGCTACTTGGGAGGCTGAGGCAGTAGGATCGCTTGAGACCAGGAGTTTGAGGTTGCTGTGAGCTAGGCTGACGCCCCGGCACTCACTCTAGCCTGGGCAACAAAGTGAGACTCTTGTCTCAAAAAAGAAAAGAAAAGAAAAGAAAATACATGATACAAATTCATATGAAGCTGCATTTCCTTTACTTGGTAACTTTAAAAATGACACAACTGTGAAAATTATGCATTCCAGGATTCCTTATTTTAGGAATAAACTCTTTACATTAAGTCAAAAGTCTAGTTCATA